ACCCTGGTGGATGAGCACAATCGCAATACACAAAAGCTCGAGCGGGATGAACGGGACGCCGGTACCCTTCGCTTTGCGACCCATAGCCGTGGTGACCATAGTTCAATTGCTTTGACGCTTCGCAATGCAGGTCCAGAAACGCGTCCGATATTGAAGTTAGAGACTGCAACCGAAACAGGCTCGGCACCACCCGTCCTGCGCGCGCATCAGATGATTCCGGGTAGTGAGATCACTTTGCGTCTGGCCGATTTGCGTTCCGGCTATCTGCACCATGCTATGCCCGTCGATGGCTTTGCTGACGCTGTGGAACTCACACGTACAAAACTGGACGCACCACTGAATGTGGATTTCCGATTCGAAGACGATACCCCACCTGGTCATGGCGACTATTACTTTATGCGCGTCCGCCAGGCCAATGAAGCATTGGGTTGGTCCAGCCCGGTCTGGGTCGGTGGACATCCGTCGCGGTAGAGATTGCATGTTGGCATTTTTATATACACCCCAAAATTCAACGCGAGAGTTGTGCATGCACTTAAGTAACTTGTTGTAAACCGCGCATAAGCAATATCTGGTTTGTGATTTTGAATTTAAATTAAGCAGGAGAATGGGAAGTGGCACAAACAATAATTGAGATCAGCCGGGCGAATGTAATGAAGTCGAGTTGTATGGCGCTGCTACTTGCCACGATCACATTGTCAGCATGTTCTGCTCCGGTAGAGCAGGAGACTGAAATCAGCCAGACGCCGGAACCGGCGCCTGCCGCCGATGCACCGCCGGTGGCGCCTCGCTTTGGTGGCGTCCAACTGACCATCCCGAACGAGGTCATTACCGCGGAGCCCCGTGAGAATGCCCGACGCAATGCCTATTTCGGTGACCTCCACGTGCACACGGACTATTCCTTTGACGCTTATGCATTCGGCACAGTCGCGACCCCCTACGATGCTTATCGCTATGCTCAGGGTGAAGCGATTGCCCACCCCGCTGGTTTCGATATGCAGCTGCGCCAGCCGCTGGATTTTTATGCAGTAACAGACCATGCGATGTTCCTTGGCGCGGTAAAGGCTGCGGCAGATAGGAGCACTGCCTTTTCCAAGTTTCCACACGTGCAGGACCTGCATGACCTTAATGACCCGTCCAATCTGAATCTGGAAAGCCTTCCTCAACGGATAAAAGCGTTTAGTGGTTTCCTTCCAGATACGCTAAGCCGGGTGGCCAGTGGCGACATCGACATTGAACTGGTGAACGCCATTGCGAAGTCTGCCTGGGCGGACATCATCAGGGCGGCGCAAACGCACAATCGACCTGGCGAGTTCACCACCTTCGTGGCTTACGAATATACTTCATCTACCGACGACCGGGGTAACCTGCATCGGAATGTGGTTTTCCGCGATGCGGACAAACTGCCTGCCATGCCGTTTTCCCGCTTTCACAGTCAGAACCCTGAAGGACTGTGGGACTGGATGGATGGCCTGCGTAGTCAGGGCATAGAGTCGCTGGCCATTCCACATAACTCCAATGGCTCCAACGGGCAGATGTTCAAGATGGTGGATTGGGCAGGGAATCCGATGGATGACAGCTATGCTCAGCAGCGACTGCGCAACGAACCCTTGGTTGAAATTACACAGGTGAAGGGCACATCGGAAACACACCCGGCATTGTCAGATAACGATGAGTGGGCGAATTTCGAAATCATGCCCTACCGGATCGCCACAACGCTGTACAGTGAACCGCGGGGTTCCTATGCGCGGGATGCACTGCTAAATGGCCTGACGCTGCAGGACCAGGGTGTCGCTAATGCCTATCAATTTGGTTTTGTGGGTGCTTCTGACACCCATACTGGCGCTGCATCTCTGGATGAAGATAACTTCTTTTCCAAAACCGGTCTGTTGGATGCCGATGGCGGTCGCAGGGGCAGCATTCCACTTTCCGCTGGTGATGCTGAAATCATCAAAGCAGCAGGGCGAGTAGAAGTAAAAGAAATAGATGGGGGGACCTATGCTTCGGGGGCCTATGAAACCTGGGGCGCTTCTGGTTTGACCGGCGTATGGGCGGAAGAGAATACCCGCGGGGCGATCTATGATGCCTTTCGTCGCAAAGAAACCTTTGCAACTTCAGGTCCCAGATTGCAGGCGCGTTTATTCGCCGGCTTCGACTTCGATGATGAACTGTTGGCATCATCTGATCGCTACGAACAAGCATACGCACGCGGCGTAAGCATGGGTTCTGAACTGCATGCTAAAGCAGATCGGCCTCCTGTATTTTTAGCCTGGGCTGCACGTGATGCAACTTCGGCAGCACTGCAACGTCTGCAGATTGTCAAAGGCTGGACTATAGAGGGTGAACATCACGAGTTTGTGTATGATGTGGCGTGCTCAGATGGCGGTGAGGTAGATCCTAATACTCACCGTTGTCCAGACAATGGGGCGGGCGTTGATCTGACAGATTGCTCCATCACTCAAGATGTTGGTGCCGGGGAATTACAGGCGGTGTGGACAGATTCTGACTACAATCCTGCACATCGTGCATTCTATTATGTGCGTGCTCTTGAAAATCCAACCTGCAGATGGTCGACCTGGGATGCAGTGCGGGCTGGTGTTGCGCCTCGTTCAGATCTGCATAAGACCATACAAGAGCGGGTCTGGACCTCCCCGATCTGGTTGATTCCCACTGGCTGAAGCACCGCGCTTTTCGGTCGCGAAGTGTCCGATGGCATCATTTAAGGGGTGGGCGTTACAGTGAATAGGCGGCTAGCTTAACCAGTTGAAGGTCAGTACCGAATCGGGCCCTAACAGCCAGGTGACGCGTGGTAGCAATTAAAGCAAAAGGTGACAATAAGTCCACATTTTGAGCTGGAACTGATAAGTTGTCTCGGTAATTCAGGACAGCTTCAGAGGAAAGTTCTATTCTGTCTGGTCGTCGCCGGTTTGATATTGGCATTAAATATAGGGCTGTGCGGCGTGCCTGATCGCCTGGATTGATCAGAACCGGGATAGCAGGAGAGATACAAGATGCAGAAAGCCATACGAAACAGGCTGCTGGCGGGAACAGTTGCATGCCTGGCGATGTGCTTTGGTATCCAAAGTGCATCCGGCGAAACACCCGAGCGGAACGCTTATTTTGGCGACACGCATATTCATACCATGTACTCCTTCGACGCCTTTATGGGCAGCGTGCGCACCACGCCAGACCACGCCTACCGCTACGCTAAGGGTGAGCCTATCGATCATCCTGCGGGCATGAAGCTCAGGATAAGCGGGCCGCCTCTGGATTTTCTGATGGTCTCTGATCATGCTAAATATCTAGGCGTGTTTGCAGCTCAGATCGATCCGCAGGCGCCGTATTATGGTCACCCCGATGCACAGGATCTTGTGCCTAAAGGCTCGCCTTTGGACTCTACCGTAAAACGGCTCCGCGAGCTCGAAGCCGAAGGGCATAGATTCATGGGTGCGCCCGTGTGGGAATACGCGTGGCAGAAAATCATTGAGGCGGCTCAACGACACAATGATCCCGGCACGTTCACTACTTTCATTGGATATGAGTACACGCCGACACCCGGTAGCCGCCATCTGCATCGTAACGTTGTGTTTCGCGGCAGTCGCGTACCAGATCGTCCGTTCAGTTCAGGGGATTCGATGGATCCGGAAGATTTGTGGAACTGGTTGGATGGGCTGCGTGCAGACGGCATTGAGGCACTGGCGATACCACACAATATGAACCAGAGTGATGGCCTGGCGTATCAAGGGGTTACCTTCAAAGGAGCGCCCATCGATCGGGCCTATGCTGAAAAGCGCATGCGCAATGAACCCATTGCCGAGATCAGCCAGCAGAAAGGCACCTCGGAAACTCATCCTTCGCTTTCGCCTAACGATGAGTGGGCTGACTTTCAGATCGTGCAGTATTATCTGAACCGGACTGAGAACAAGAACCCCATCTCGGTTTTTAAGGGGGGCTATTATCGAGATGCATTGAACACGGGTCTAGAGTTTCAGGCGCGTAGCGGCTTCAACCCGTATCAACAGGGTGTGATTGGCGCCAGCGATACCCATTTATCTGCCGGGCCTTTCGAGGAGGACAATTACTTCAGCGGTGGTCCTAACGATGCGGTCTCGCGCGGGTCGGCCTATCCGGACGCGGGCGATGCGAACGCGTCCTGGGAAGACTTCTGGACACCCCGCTCGGCTACCCATGGCACGGGTGGATTGGCCGGCGTCTGGGCCGAGGAGAATACGCGCGACTCTCTCTACGACGCTATGCGCCGTAAGGAGACGTTTGCTACTTCTGGCCCACGCATACGAGTACGCCTTTTTGGTGGTGATTTGCCCGCGAACGTCGCCGATTTAGCAGATCCGATCCAAGCCTCATACGCCAACGGTGTCGCCATGGGCGGCATGTTGGACGCGCCATCGAAACAGGCACCAAGATTCCTGGTGTGGGCGACAAGAGATCCCAACGCTGGATGGTTGCAGCGTGCTCAGATCATCAAAGGCTGGGTGGAGGAGGGCGAAGCGAAGGAAGCGGTGTTTGACGTGGCTTGCTCAGACGGCCTGTCACCGGATCCCGATACACACCGTTGTCCAGACAATGGTGCAAGAGTGAATCTGGCCGACTGCAGTGTCAGTAGCGACACGGGTGCGGTGATGTTGAAAGAAACCTGGAAAGATCCCAACTTCGATCCTGACCAGCAAGCTTACTACTACGTCCGCGTGCTGGAGAATCCGAGCTGCCGTTGGTCCACCTGGGATGCGATCCGCCTTGGCATCGAGCCGAACCCCAACCTGCCCGCGGTCCACCAGGAGCGGGCCTGGTCTTCACCGATCTGGTACCAACCCTAGCTCGCTTGCAGGCATTTGCAGCTAAGACTAAGCAGTATGAAATTACTTAAAGGCCTCTATGTAACGGCACTTGCCTGCTGCTTCTTGTGCTCGGACGCCACTTTCGCCGCCGAACCAGTGCCAGTTTCCATAACCCGCCTCGGGGCCGGCCCCATTATCACGCCTGCTATGGATCAGCGCATGGGTAGTAATATTCAGGGGCCATCGTTGATCAAAGTACCTGGCTGGGTGAAAGATCCGCTGGGTGCGTATTACCTGTATTTTGCAGATCACCGTGGCAGCTATATCCGTATGGCCTATGCCAATTCATTGACCGGTCCGTGGACAGTTTATGCTCCAGGTACTATGAAACTTGAAGACTCCTATTTTCCAACCACATGTCCGCCTTGTTCGTTGGCGTCAGGTCGTGACGCACCACTGTACGCGCACATTGCGTCGCCTGATGTCCATGTGCGCGAAGACCTCCAACAAATCGTGATGTATCTGCATGGCAGAGATGAAGGCAAACAGCTCACTCGCCTGGCCGTTTCTGGAGATGGCATTCATTTCGAGGGTAAGTCAGAGGTGTTGGGTCGCCCTTATTTTCGGGTGATCAATCATGAGGGCTACTACTACGCTATGAGTATGCCCGGTTATCTGTATCGCTCGCAAAATGGCTTGAGCGAGTATGAAGCCGGACCACGTTTCTTTTCAGATGACATGCGCCACTCGGCGTTGTTGATTCGCGATGGCTTGCTGCATGTTTTTTACACTCAGAGGGGCGATGCGCCTGAACGCATTCTGCTTGCAACAATTGATATGGCCGGCGACTGGCTGAAATGGCAGGCCTCAGCGCCGATCGAAGTTCTGCGCCCCGAGACTGTTTGGGAAGGTGCTAACCTGCCTATTGAAGCTTCGCGCGCTGGGTATGTGAATGTGCCAGTCAACCAATTGCGGGACCCGGCTGTCTACCAGGAGAATGGGGAAAGCTATTTGTTGTATGCCGTAGCCGGTGAAGGTGGGATTGCTATTGCAAAAATTGATTTTGAGTGATTTGTGCATGACCACAGTACCTGCAGTGGCAGTGTTTTTGCATTTTCGACGGCAGGCGATTTTAGGGACCAAGAGCTGATGGCCTGGTATAAAGATCCATTGCTCTTTTTTCTGCTGGTCGGCACCGTCATTTTCGCGTTCTCTCAGTGGGCTTCGCAAAAAGATGGTGAGTACAACATTGTCGTTGGCGAAGCAGACATTCAGCGCCTGAAAGACCAGTGGTCCATGCAGATGCGACGGCCGCCGAACAGCCAGGAACTGAAAGGTCTGGTCGATCAGTTTATCAAAGAAGAAATTTACTATAGAGAAGCTATGCGTTTGGGGCTGGACGCAAACGATACTATTGTGCGGCGACGCATGGTGCAGAAGCTGACCTTTCTGACCGAGGACATCGCCACCTCAGGGGCGTTCACTGAAGAGGCGCTGCGAGCCTTCTATCAGGACAACCTGAGCACCTACCGGCTGGCTGATCAGTACAGTTTCAAACATCGATATTTTTCCGAAGACCGGCGCGATAACGCCCGGGTAGATGCTGCAGCCGCGCTTGCGGACAGTACAATTACAGGTGACCCATTTATGCTGCAACGGCAATACGCGCTGCGTTCTGAGCGCGAAATTGGTGATCTGTTTGGGCGCGAGTTTGCAGCAAGCCTGGTTAATATGCAGCCGCAGGATATTTGGCAGGGGCCAATTCAGTCCGCCTACGGCTGGCACGTGATCCTTCTGACTGACAAAAGGTCTGCCTCGGTACAATCCTTTACAAGCGTACGTGGACGCGTCCTGGGCGATGCTCAGCAGGCAGCGCGCGATGATGCCAACACTCGCTATTTTGAAGAACTGCGAGCGCAATACAACATTGTTTATGCTGATCCAGTCCCTTAAGCGCTGCTGCTTTTTGCTGATCCTGACCTGTGTGCCTCTCAGCGTTGGGGCAGATGAGATACGTCCCGCGTTTTTGCAGATCACGGAACAAGTTGATACCGACGGCCGCCATTGGTTTAGCGTGTTATGGAAACAGCCCGCGGTGCAGAATGGACGCCTCGCCATTACGCCAGTTTTCCCCACCGATTGTGAGCTGCGGGAAGAATCGCCACCCGAAGTTACCTCGACAGCTTTTATCCAACGCTGGCAAACTGACTGTGATCTAAGCTCAGCTTCCATACATATCGACGGTTTATCGATGACGCTGACGGACGTGATGGTGCACTACAACGACATAGACGGTAGCACAAACAATTACGTCCTGCGGCCTGAAAACCCAACACTCAATCTTGCCACGGATACACCAGGTACGCTGTCCTATCTGTGGATAGGTGTTGAACATCTGATTTTTGGTATTGATCATGTGCTGTTTGTGATTGGCCTGGTGTTGTTCATCCGCGCGCCATGGGCGTTGTTAAAAACGGTCACAGCGTTCACCGTTGCGCATTCCATTACCCTGGCACTGTCGGTGTTGGGCTGGGTTAAAATAGATCAGGGCCCAGTTGAAGCGATCATTGCGCTGTCAATATTATTTCTAGCACGGGAGCTAGTAGAGGAGCCCGACAAACGCTCGCGACTGACAGTTGCCAATCCCTGGATCATGGCTTTTATTTTTGGTCTTCTGCATGGTTTGGGTTTCGCTGGCGCGTTGAGCGATGTCGGCTTGCCGGAGGAAGGCTTATGGTTGGCACTCTTGTTATTCAATGTTGGCATCGAACTGGGTCAGTTAATGATAATTGCCTTGGTGTTGAGCATTATATGGTGTGCACAACGTTTTACCGCCTTACCCACCATCACCCGGATTGGCGCCTGGGGGATGGGTTGTATGGCGGCGTTCTGGACCATAGACCGCACGTGGTTGCTGATTTAGGGAGAGCACGTTGAGGACGACATGCCTATATGGCGCCATAATTTGATCGTTTAGATACTATGATGTCTAAAGCTACTTCGCTGGAGGGTTAGAGATGCGAATTTCCTGTTCGTTGGTTATGGTGTGTTTTCTTCTATCTACTGCCGATAAAGTCCAAGCGCAAGATCAAGCGCCTGTACCCGTGCGCAATCAGGTTGCTGAGACAACTGGCACCCCGATTACGACCATGCGCCATTGGAAGATAAAGAAGGATAGCTTCCCCCAGTTTCTGCACGCGAGCCAGACCGGGGTGTGGCCTTACTTTGAAAAGATTGGCGCCCGTGTGGTCGGCATGTGGCAAGTCATCAATGTAAAACCGGACGATAAAAGTGGCGGTATGGAGAATTCAGGTTTTACGGTGCACCAGAATAATGGTCTTGAATACGACGAGGCAATATTGGTAACCCGGTACGCCAGCGTTGAGCATTGGCAAGCAACTCGTGACGCCGTTGCTCTCGGTGGGGATGGACCTGACTACGCAGCGCTGGTTGCGGCACTCAGCACCCGGCGCGACCTCACCCTGGAAACCTCAGTTACCTTTCTGCAAGGGTATAACGGACCCAATGGTCCATATTTTTTACCCGGGACGGGTGAGCATTTTCAATCCGAAGGCGTTAGCCGTTAGCTCGACCGGTATCACTAATCATCTGATTGATTTCTTCGATCGGAAAATTCGGCGTTCTATCGAAGCAGAGTAGACCATTATTGGTAGACAAAAGATGGCAGCTTATCATCCAAGCTTTGTTGCAATAACGCTCAACAATTCGGCCATCTGAAAATGATATCCCACCGTACCTTTTCCTAAGTCTTTGTTGTAGTTGATTGTGAAGTGTCGGTAGTTGTTGTCATCACTTCCCTGGGGGTGTGCATGGCGATAGGATGGACTCCTCAACGGTGATCTACCTTCGATGGTAATGTGCGATCACATGTTGAATAGGAGGATCCGAAATGGCGATTTCAGTTGTAGGCGTTGATCTATCAAAGTCCGTGTTTCAGTTGTCTCTAGCAGATGCGGACCATCACGTTTTTGAGCGTAAACGGCTAAGCCGAGCTCAATTCCATCGGTTTCTCGCTCGGAGCGAGCCAGTTAGCCTGGTCATGGAAGCCTGTGGTACGTCACATTATTGGGCACGATTCGCTGAGTCTCTGGGCCATGAAGTAAAGCTGCTGCATGCCAAATATGTGAAGGCCTATGTCCGGCGAACCAAAACTGACGCCGCGGATGCAGATGCTTTAATCCTCGCCGATCGCGACGACAGCCTGCATCCGGTGCCCGTTAAACCAGAAGAGCTTCAAGCACTGCAGGGATTGCATCGGATTCGTGAGCGATGGAAGCGAGCCCGTACTGTTCGTATCTGCGAAGCCAGGGCGCTACTGGCAGAGTTCGGCATCACATTGCCCCAAGGTGCCCGGGGAATTGGCAATAAGCTGGCCGAGGGTGCTGAGCATGTACCTGTGCTGATGCAATCAACTCTCCAGGAACTTATCCAAGAGATAGAGGAGTTAGCACAACGCATCAAACAGGTTGACCGCGAACTGTCGGCATATGCCAACACCAACAAAGATGCACAGGCGTTACTGAGCATCCAGGGTGTCGGTATTATCGTTGCCACAGCCTTGGTGGCTCGCGTTCCGAATATCCACAACTTCAAGCGAGGTCGGTCTTTTTCATCCTGGCTAGGGCTAACTTGCAGAGAATACAGTTCAGGACAAACGCGTCGTCTGAGTGGCATCACCAAGCAAGGAGATCGTTATCTGCGCATGCTAATCATTCATGGTGCTCGAGCCGCGTTAATGGCAGCTCGACGCAAAGCGGCAAACGGTAAACAGTTGACGCGTCTGGAGACTTGGGCCATCAACACTCAAGCGAGAGTCGGGCACAACAAGGCAGCGGTTGCGCTGGCTAACAAGATGGCGCGAATCATATGGGCAGTATGGACACGAACCGAAGTTTTCAATGGCGATGACGCTTTGCGTTTTGCCGCGTAAGTGATTTTGAGACTCTTCAACACGCTGCGCACAATAATCGCTTGACGATACACACGGTTCTCCGTGCCGCCTGAAAGGCCGATACCAATTCTTGAACGTTCGAGTTCGACATGGCGATAGGCCCGGGCGGTGCGGATTCTCTCATGGTCCGGTGGTATGACCACCAACAATAAAGGCCGAATACACGAATGCAGCCGCTTCCGTCAGATTGATTAAGCTACGCAACGAGTGAGGAGTAGCCATGTAATAAACAAGAGTTGAAAAAGCAATTGACAGAGGAGTCCATACACGAATTGGTAGTCAGGCAGGAGTCGGTGTATAGAAAAGATTGCGGCAATGTTCCTGCCAATCATAGTTGTTGAGGCTTCCCACTTGACCGAAAAACTCGTGTTTTGCGGAAGGTTTGAATGGGAAAAAATTGAGGCCAACGAAGCCACGAGTCCTTTGTTTATGAGGCTTCCAGCGTAGATAGGAAGCAGAACTGGGGGTCAAGTGGTCGCAGGTTCAAATCCTGCCGTCCCGACCAAAAATCCCTTTTTATATCAGTGGGTTAGAGGCTGTCGAGTGGCCTGCGCATTCTTATTCCTGGTCGACTGGTAGGATATTGGTAGGGTTTGAAGTTGTGGAAATCCTACCAGGTTGGATCGTCCTGTCCGGTAACCGTGTTCTTCCGACGCGCGGTTGAAATTCCTGTATCTGCCCCAATATCGTCTTGGTTAGATATTGACGATACCGCCCATGGCAGATGTACAGAAACAACTCCTCAAATTCCATAACTCGATCAAGCTGAGCGAGAACAGTCAGAACGCCAAGCTCAGGGAGAAGAGAGAAATAATCATCAACGCGTTGAAGGACGGGCTGAAACGTATTTCTGAAGAATCCGGTTCCGAACTTCTGAAGTTTGAACACTTTAATCAAGGCAGCTACGCCATGGGAACTGGAATCAACCCCAAAGATGGCGACTACGATATTGACGTTGGAATCGTTTTTCAGAACCAGAAGTGGGACTTCGCAACTCCTGTTCAACTAAAGAAAACCATCCGAGATGCGGTATCAACTGACGGTAGGAACGTTCGCATTCGACGTCCGTGCGTAACCGTTGAATACCTGAAGAACGAAGAGGTGGACTACCACGTAGACCTTGCGATTTACGCCCAGACGCCCGGAGATGACCTCGAGCTGGCTGTTGGTAGGGAGCACTCATCTGCTGAAAACCAAAATTGGGAATACTCAGATCCCAAAGGACTAATCTCAGCATTCAAAGACAAATATGACGGGGACGATGCGGCACAGCTTCGACGAACAGTTAGATATCTGAAGAAGTGGCGTGATAAGAACTTCGCTTCAGGCGCTCCTACGAGCATTGCACTGACGTGCGCTGCCTACCATTGGTTTGCGCCAACAAAGAGCTTCGGTGAATACACCGACACAAAAGCGTTCAAAAACGTTGTTGATGCAATGTACTTAGAAGCGCAGGGAAGGAGATTGAGTGTCCCTTTACCTGTGACGCCATATACAGATCTTCTCGCTGGCATGACTGAATCGCAGATGGATAACATGCGGGTACAACTCGAAATAGCCCAATCGTCACTCCAACAAGCGATTGATACTGAATCGGTTGTTGAAGCCTGCGAGAAATTGAAGAAGCTTCTCGGCGACGAGTTCGAAGTGCCTGATGATGGCGGTGACGGTGGCTCCGGTTCAAGAACTGCGAAACGCAGTGCTGTGCCCCCTTACGTAACGACCGGAACCTCTGCGTGATCGACACGCTTGTCGCTCGACTCAAATCACTGGATTTGGTCGTAGACGCCAATGTTTCGAACAACGACATACTCGTCAGCACATCTCATGTGCCTCCTTACGTGATTCGGTTAGCAGATCTAAATCGACTTCCTTACAAGCTCCCGTCAGCAACACTAGAGAATCTTGACACGGTTGGTGTGCGGCCGCATGTCTCATGGAGCGGTGTCATCTGTGTGTCTGATGGGGAAGCAATAAACAT